AGGGATTCTAAATGGGATTTTATTAATGTAGTTAACTTTTCTATCTTGAAAAAAACCGTTTTATAATTTCAGTTTCTGTAAAGATTTTATAATTGTGCTGTTTAATAACTTAAAAATCATAGATGTGTGTATCATAACTATGATTCTGGCCTAGAATTCTGGTCAATAGTTGATTTTTTTTTTCCATTCTGATAGCAAGCACGTAACATAAAATCTCCTTTTAGCTGCTCACCTGCTGCCTGTCTGTCGCTGTGCGGGTGTCCTGTATAAAAGCCTTTTCCCTTGGTGACGCCTTGGTGGCAGCTCTCCTGTCCTATGGTGGCCATTCAGGGTCTCCTTTTGCTTCCTTTCCTAATAAACATGTCCTTCCAAAATGTAAAAAAAAACCTTGTTTTGGCCTTTTTTCCATATAGTTCTTTTGATTCAGTATCTTCACAGTGTTGTGCCACCATCACCACCATCCAGAAATTTTCCTTTTCTCCTCATGAAACACTCCGCTCTAAGCCCAAGCTCCCTACTCCCCTCTTCTCAGCCCCTGCAACTGTCTTTTTATTTTCTGTTTCCATGAATTTGATGACTCTGAGAGCCTCATAGAAAGGGAGTCATGGGGCCTCCCCGGTGGCGCAGCGGTTGAGCGCTGGGTTGCGAAGCTGCCCGCGGCCTCTGCGGCGCCGGTTCGATCCCCGGCTGCTCCCCGGCCACCGGAGGAGGATCCCACATGGTGCGCAGACCTCTCCTGCCACCCGCTGCTCCCCTCAGCAGTGTACTTCAGCCCTTCTGCCTGCTCTGCTCCCCGCTCTGGCTCTGGTGAATTCTCTCACCCTCCCGCGCTTCTGACTGTACCCAGTGCATGTATAAACAAAACAAACAAATATAATAAATAAATAAATAAAAACATGCCTCTATTAAAAAAAAAAAAAAAAAAAAAAAATATTTTTAAAAAAAAAAAAAAAAAAAAAGAAAGGGAGTCATGTTACATCTCATTTTGTGAATGTCCTACTTTATTGCATAACGTCTTTATGGCGCACCCATATTTTACCATGTGTTGTTTACTTCCTCTTAAAGACGCAGTGATATCCTTTCATGTGGCGCTGCCGGTCTTATTTGTCCACTGATCCATGGCTGGCGGCTTGGGTTGGTTTTGCTTTGGGCTGTAATGACTGATGTTGCAGTGACTGTAGGTGTGCAGACGTCTCCAGGCCCTGCTGTCCCTGCTATTGGGGAACACCCCAGGGTAGTGGTGTGGTGTGGTGAGGGTGGGTCCTCCTGTCATTCTGAGTTCCCTTTTCCCAAGAATCACCTTCCTGCTTCCTTCCTGGCTGCATCATTTATCATTTATGTTTGCCCCAACAGTGCACAGGGTTCCAGGTCTCAATGGGGTTTGTTTTTTTTTTAAAGATTTATTTATTTATACAAGAACCGGGGTATAGGCCAGATGCGCGGGAAGGTGAGAGGATTCACCAGAGACAAGAGCGGGGAACAGAACGGGCAGATCCACTGAAACACACTGCTGAGGGGAGCAGCGGGCGAGACAGGAGAGGTCTGCTGCGCCATGTGGGACCCTCACCAGGATTGAACTGGTGCTGCAGAGGCTGCGAGCAGTTTCACAGCCCAGCACTCAACTGCTGCGCCACCAGGGGAGGCCCTTAATGGTTTTGATAATATTTTATTTCTACCCTAGTAGATGTAAAATGGCATCACTTGTGCTTTTGATTTGCTTTTCCTTAATGGCCAGTGATGTTAGCATTTTTATGTGCTTATGGCCTACTTGTGATTTGCAGAACTGTATTCCAGTCGTTTGCTCATTTCTTTTTTTTTTTTTTTTAAGATTTATGCATACAGGAACTGGGGTATAGGCCAGAGGTGGGGGTGGGGTGAGAGGATCTAGCAGAGACAGAGCAGGGAACAGAACAGGCAGACTGGCTGAAATAACACTGTTGAAGGGAACAGCGGGGAGACAGGAGAGGTGTGCTGTGCCGTGTGGGTAGCTCCCTGGCCGGGGATCGAACTCATGCTGCAGAGGCTGTGGACAGCTTCATAGGTTGCGTCTTAACCCCTTGTGCCCTCAGGGAGGCCCCTCTGCTCATTTCTGATGGGCTTTTATGTAGCAGTTTTAGGACCACAGCACACCTGTGAGAAGGTTGATTTCCTCTCTACACTTCCTCCCAATTATGGAAACACCCATATGGAGTGCATTTGCTCTAGTTTACAAATCCGTCTTGAGATACCATCTCCGTGGGCTTGGTTCCCAGTATGATACCCTCTTGGTGGTGTACTTTATAGATTTGGAGGAGCAGGGATAAGTATCCACTATTGTAGGTGTCCAGAATAGCCTTGCTGCCCTAAAAATCCTGTGCTCCTTCGAGTCCTTCCCCCACCCATTTCCACGGATACTTTCATGGTCTCCATAGTTCCTTGTAATCGAGTGTCATACATACAGTCATGCATTGGGTGGCGTTTTCAAAGGAGTCATAGAAGATTCCTGTCTTCATGACATGACAGCTCATTTCTCTGAGCTCTGAATGATGATGCCATTTTCTGGATGAAGCACAATTTATCCATTTATCCACTGAGGCATTTTGGTCGCTTCCCAGTATGGGCAGTGGGATATAGCTGCCGTGTATGTCCACGTGCTGCTGCTCCTAAGGACGTGAGTTTTCCCATCTATTGGGTACATAATGGAAGTGCAGGGACTGAATCAAGTGTTGTTTAATTTTTTTAATTCACTTTTTTTTTTTTTAAGATTTATTTATTTATATAAGAACTAGGGTACAGGCCAGATGCGCGGGAGAGTGAGAGGATTCACCAGAGACAGAGCGGGGAGCAGAACAGGCAGACTGATGAAATACACTGCTGAGGGGAGCAGCGGGCTAGACAGTAGAGATCTGCGCCATGTGGGACCCTTGCTGGTGGGCCAGGATCAAGCCAGCACTGCAGAGGCTGTGGACAGCTTCACAGTGCAGCACTCAGCTTCCTGCACCACCAGGGAGGCCATTAAATTCACATTTTTAAAAAGTTTATTAGAAAAAGGAGCCCCTGCCTAGTCCTAGGCAGGCAGGAGAGCTGCTGAGAGTGGTTTACTTTCCCAGAGAGCACCAAGCTCTATGCAGACGGCCCTGCCCTGGTGGTGGTCTGTCTGGTAACCTGAGCAAATTAGTGTCCTCTGCTGTGTTGAGTTCCTGTTTTACAGGTTCCTCCAACAGTCTCCAGTATGAGGCTTTCTCAACACACTGGAGTAGCACAAGTGTACTAGTGTGCTAGTTCTTACAGTGTCTGTGGACCTTAAACTTCGCCAGTTGCACTGTTGTGTTGCACACATGTATTTCACATTGGTTCTGTGCATGTCATTGTCCGCTCTTTTTAACGTATTTTTCTTTTCTCTAAGCCATTGTGGTTTTTTTTTTTTTTTAAGATTTATTTATTTATGCATGTAAGAACTGGGGTACAGGCCAGAGGTACGGTGGGTAAGAGGACTCACCAGAGACAGCGGGGAACAGAACAGGCAGATTGACTGAAACACACTGCTGAGGGGAGCAGTGGGGAGATAGGAGAGGTCTGCTGTGCCATGTGGGTTGCTCCCTGATCGAACTCATGCTGCAGTGGCCGCAGATAGCTTCATAGGTTGTGTCTTAACCCCTTGCTCCACCAGGGACTCCCCCACCCCCCTTTTTTTGTTGCATAGAAGATCTGGGGTGTAGGCCAGAGGTGCGGGGGTTGGGGGTTGGTGAGAGGATTCACCAGAGACATAGTGGGTGCAGAACAGGTGGACTGACTGAAATACACTGCCAAGGGGAGCAGTGGGAGAGACAGCGGGGAGATAGGAGAGGTCTGCTGCGTGATGTGTGGGTCAGCTCCCTGGCCAGGGATCAAACTCAGGCTATAGCGGTGATAGCCTGAGACTAACACCCTATGCCACCAGGGAGGCCAACAATTGTCTATTTTTTAAAAATTAGAAGTACAGTGTATGTAGAATTCTTTGTACATTTACCTACTCAGCGACCATTTCTTGGAGCCGTCTGGTGTCCTTTCAGTCTGTAGAACGTCCCCTAGTGCTGTGAGCTGCTGCTGAGTTACCTCAGCATTTGTCTGTGTGAGATGGCTGCTGCTGCTTTTTCTTTTAGTCTAGTGTCACCAGATTTAAGATGGGGGTCAAAGGATGTTTCAGTGCTTTGAAGATACTTTCCCCTTCTTCCGGTGAGACGTTGTCCATCATTCCTTTGTGGTTGAATCATCTGCTGTCGTCTCTCCGGGCTGCTCCCAAGATCTTCTCTTACCTTTGGGCAGTGGCTGTTTGTGAAGGGCCTGAACTAGTTTTCTTTGCCCTGACCTGATTACAGATTTTTAAGTTTATTAGGTTTGTAAATTGCATCTCTAAATTAGGGGACTTTTAGCCGTTGTGTGTGAAAATACGTATTATGCACCTTCTTTCCCTTCTGGAACTCCAGTTACATGCGTGTGAAACTGTTTCCTAGAGTATTTCTGAGCATCTTCCCATTCTCCTCCTTATTTTTCTTTTTCATTTTCAAGTAAGTTTTCTTTTCAAGTTCTTTTTCTTTTTCGAGTAAGTTGTTTACCATCAACTTCAGTGACTTCCTTTTGCTTTAGTAAGCCCGATGTTTAGCCCTCCAGTCAGTTTTCATTTTAATACTTCATTGACCGTCTCCCATGTTCATGTGGCTGCTTTTGTAGGTTAACCTTGCTCTCCGGCAGTTTTCCTTAATGCATTGTTTCTATGTTTCCATTAACATACTGAAATGTCTTAGGGGTGTTTTAACCCTTCTCTGGTACCAGCTGATCACAGATCCCTTGGCTTTAGTTTCCAGGGGCTGCTTTGTTGTTGTTTTCTGTCTGTTTTTCTTCTGGAATATGAGTAATGTTTTCTATTTTTCTTACATGGTAGTGGTTATGAATTAGCCCTTGTTGGACGTGGTGAATCATATGTTGCTGCACCTCCCCCTGCAGTGACCTTTAGGGCTAATGGCTTTTGCCATGGTCCCTAGGTCCAGCTGGGCAAGGAACCAGCACGCAGGGGAGTACAGCAAAGTTCCCTGAAGACATAGATAAGACAGACGTCTATCAAAAGATAATGACCACCAGGAGCCACCACAAGAATGCTGACCAAAAGGAGCCTTATCTCGTCTCCTCAGACCTACAAACTTTATCCCTTCACTCTCTTTCTAAAACTTCTTCCTTCTCTTCTGTAAAGGGCATTGATTGTTAAATTAAAGAAACATGAAATCTAGTAACAAGGATGTCTCAAATGAAACACCAATAAACCTTGTGTAACAACAAAATTGTTAGTTCAATAATTGCTCTGTTATATGTTAAAATTCCTTAGCTTTGATCCCTAATGAAAAAATGGTATTACATAAAAAAAAATAAGTGCACCTGTTATAATTAATAATGATTAATGAATTTGGTGGTTAGCTAGGAGAAAATGTAATTATATAAAACAAAAGACAAAACTAATGATTTGACTGCTTAGGAATGTGCCTAGATCCAAATGTAACTCTGGACATAAATCACTGCCTTGTCAATGATAAGTTAAACCTATGAGCCAACTGCTTTAGTTCACTGATAACCGATCCTATGCCTTTAGAAAAATATATATACTGGCCACTAACTTAAATAAAATTACACTCAGATTTTCACTCTCTTTTTTTTTTTAAGAGGCATGTATTATTTATTTATTTGTTTGTTTGTTTTGTTTTGTTTTGTTTGTTTATACAAGCACTGGGCACAGTCAGAAGCGCGGGAGGGAGAGAGAATTCACCAGAGCCAGAGCGGGGAGCAGAGCAGGCAGAAGGACCGAAGTACACTGCTGAGGGGAGCAGCGGGCGGCAGGAGAGGTCTGCGCGCCATGTGGGACCTTCCTCCGGTGGCCGGGGAGCAGCCGGGGATCAAACCGGCGCTGCAGAGGCCGTGGGCAGCTTCGCAACCCAGCGCTCAACCGCTGCGCCACCGGGGAGGCCCAGATTTTCACTCTCTTGAAGTGTGTCTGTCTGTCATTTCTTTTGCCGACTCCCTGACCACCCTGCGCAGTCTCTCAACCCTGAGGCGCCCTCTTCGTCTACTGCTGTGCTGGTCCGCGGCAGTATGTTGCAGAGATTCTGGATCCTGTTACATTTTTCAGAAGAGTGATTTTGATTAAACCCATTGGGGAAGAGGCTCACAGAGCAGGGCCCAGCATTCATGTGCACTGGTGCCCCTTACTCTGCCAAGAGAGCTCTGTGACAGAGCTGTCACCCTAGCAACGAGAATGCCATAGGCACGGAATAGTGACCACCAGGGAGTCCGCTTGAGCCCTGATGTGCAGATTTGATTGAGGCTCTGTCTTGCAGACGTGGTCAGCCTCCTATGTCCTGACCTCACGCGCAGGCCCTTATGACTGTGCTGATTACTTTTGCTGACAGTTCCCGCCACCTTCAATACATTGTGATGCGAGGACAGCTGTGTGACCCACAGCTGCCAGGTGAAGAGAGACATCCCCGTCACTCAGGACATAGGCACTTAGTGGCCCCATCACCATCCCTCCAGGCCAAGACAAAGGTGCAGTCTTTTTGCGGACATAGCTTGTGGGGTTTTTTTTTTTTTTTTTTAAGATTTATTTATTTATGCATACAGGGGCTGGGGTCCAGGCCAGAGGTGTGGGGGTGAGATTATTCACTAGAGACAGAGTGGGGAGCAGAACAGGCAGATGGACAGAAATACACTGCAGCAGGAGAGGTCTGCTGTGCCATGTGGCTATCTTCCTGGCTGGAGATTGAACTCATGCTGCAGACGCTGCAGCAAGCTTCATAGGTTGCGCCCCCTTGTGCCACCAGGGAGGCCCTTGTTTTTTATTACATAGCACAGGTTCTCTGGATTCAAGTTTTATCAGGGTTGGAAAGTTGTTTGGTTTTTGTGTATTTTCTTTTTTTTAAGATTTTTTTTTTTTTTTTAATTTTATTAATACAAGACCTGGGGTACAGGCCAAAGTCGCGGGAGGGTGAGAGGATTCACGAGACAGAGCTGGGAACAGAACAGGCAGATGGACCGAAAGCACTACTGAGGGGAGCAGCGGGCGAGACAGGAGAGGTCTGCCTCGCTGTGTGGGATTCTCCCTGGCCAGCTGGGGATCGAGCGGGTGCTGTGGAGGCTGCGAACAGCTTCACAGTGCTGCGCTCAACCTGCTGTGCCACCGGGGAGGCCCAGTTTTTGTGTATTTTCAAATATTTGTTGTCTCTATGTGATCTACCGAACTCCAGTTCTTCTCAGTTGTATCACCACATATTGTCCCCCACATCACTGACTCTGGGGCTTCCATTCCTGCTGATCTGGGCACGTGCTGCCTCAGTGGTGGGGGCGCCTCTGCAGCAGCGGGGGCTTCTCTCCCTGCTCCACACAACCCAGTTCTGGCTGTGTCTCCTCGGAGCCTAGCAATGGCCTCCTTATGTGTACTTCCTGGGTCATGGAGTGGACTGACCAGGTGCGAGTTCTGGGCTGACTGGCGCTACAAAGGTCCGCACAGCCACAGGATTGAAAAACGGTCCCATCAGACTTGTGGGCGGGGCTCCCTGGAAGAGGATATAACATGGTGAGAGGGAGAGAACAGCTCCGTTCCAGCCTCCAAAGAAAGAAGATGGACCAGAACCTGACCTTGAAAGAAGCATCCAGCAGCTGACCTCCAACGAGGCATGAGAAGCAAGAGTCTGTGAGAGACACTGCCTCCGTGTCTCTGATGTCACCTTAAGGAGCCAAAGACTCCAGGCCTGGTGTCTCAAGGAGCTTTTTGTTGTTGGTGTCGCCCAGCAACTCACAAATAGCTGGGGGTCTCTGACACCGCCTCTGGGGAAGCAGTAGTGACCATAGCGACCATCACTACTGGCTGGTGCCGTCCAGCAGTCCTTTTGAAAAGTGGTAACCATCAGTTTCTGGGTGAGGTGGCCGGCCACTGTGTACATAGTGAGCTCTTTGTTTCTCCTGTTTGAAATAACCCCATGGTTGTTGCTGAGCCTGAGGTCTCTTGCAGTCGTGTGCGGGTGAGGCCCCAGACGGTGGCCCATTCTCTTACCGGGCACTGCCCTTTGTTTGGCCCTCGCCCACAGGCCCCTGTACATAGGTGTCCGTATTGCACTGGCCCTGCGTTTTGGTTTTTGGCCTTTCTGCCTTTCGGGGCTTTTCAGTGGCTCTCTGGTCTCAGAGCCTGGGCAGGTGGGAGGCCTTTCTGGCCTCTCCCATGCTATCATCCATCCTCCTTGTGCCAGAGGGCACCCCTGTGTCACTATTTTGTTTTCCCGGGGCCTCTTCCCCTGAAGGGTCTTTGTCGGCTCTGCATGATGATATCAAAATAACTTGCCCTTTGCTTTCAGAGTGTTTTTATAATTGGGCCTGAGCTCCTCTCCTGTGAAGTTTGTGTAGTTTGTCAGGTGTTGCGAAGGGAAAGCCCTCGGCTTGTTAATGTCGTCGCTGCTGGTCTGTGTGGGCGGCCGAGGTTCTGCCAGCTTGTCCGTTGCCAGACCCTTTCCAGGGAAAGTTTTGAAGCAGGGACTCTCTGGAAGCAAGTGTTGTGGCAAGGCAGTTTCCAGTTGATTGTAAACAGGTAGGAGCAGAAGAAACAGCCCAATGTGTGGAATATTTTGAAGATAGAGCCAATAGCATTGCAGTCTTTGGCCTTTGTGTCCCCAGAAGAAGTCTTTTAGTTAAAACTTTACATCTTTTTCAAATTTGTTAGGTAAAAACTGTATTGCAGCATGATTTTATTTGGAATTAATCTCATTTAAAAATTTTTAAATATATCTTCATAGTTTAAAAGACTGAAATTTTGCAAGACTGCTGGTGATCATCATTCTTAGCTCAATTTTCTCCCAAGTTGCTGTTTCTTCTTCATTTCTTTTTTTTTTTTTAAAATCTTTTTTTAATTTTTTTTTTATAGAGGCATGTTTTATTTATTTATTTTGTTTGTTTGTTTGTTTTGTTTATACATGCACTGGGTACAGTCAGAAGCGCGGGAGGGTGAGAGAATTCACCAGAGCCAGAGCGGGGAGCAGAGCAGGCAGAAGGACCGAAGTACACTGCTGAGGGGAGCAGCGGGCGGCAGGAGAGGTCTGCGCACCTTGTGGGACCCTCCTCCGGTGGCCGGGGAGCAGCCGGGGATCGAACCGGCGCTGCAGAGGCTGCGGGCAACTTCACAACCCAGCGCTCAACCGCTGCGCCACCGGAGAGGCCCGTTACTGACCCTTTTGAATTGGTTGAAATATGTACTAATAAAGTCTTCCTACCTGCTGAGCCTGAAATCAGGCTCCCTGGGGAGACTGGGCTGTGGTAACCAATGACCCTGACCTCCGAGTGTCTTCTACAGCAGAGGCCTGCTTCATCTCTCTTTGTGGCCTTGGGTTGATGTAATAGCCTTTCCTGAAGGGTCCTGGTCCTTGGGACAAGAGGAAGGCGTGCAGGGAACAGTTTCAGCTCTTAAAGATGCTCAGTGTGTTAGAATCTCTTCCACTGACATTTCTTAAAAGCTGCCTGAGCAGCAGCTGAGATGGGTGCACACTGTCCGTGAGGGCTACATCCGTGTACATCTCCAGTGCAACCCCTGTCTTGCGCGGTGACCCTAATAACATCCCATGGGGCTGATTCCTTTTCTCTGAAAAGCCTGGATTTGTGTGTGTGCCAGGACCCTGTGGCATGTCCTGGTGTTGCTACTGTTAGTACAGAGATCTGTGTCCTCAGATGCAAGTGACCTGCCGTCTCCACAACCGATTCACAGGCGTCAAGCGTGGGCAAGATAAGCACGTGAACATTCCATTCTGAAAACTGGGAGGCATGAAGAAGGGAATTGTGTTGTCTCATGGCTGCCCAGCAGTCTTGTAATTCCGGCATCAGTTGTTCTGAGAGACCCCTTTGGATGGGCCAGCATCAGGAGGTGTCCCCTTGGACCACATCTCCCATGGCAGAAAATGAGCTTGTTTGTTCTCTGGCACAGTTCACAACCAGAGACCTCACCATGCCTGGGCAGCGCCACAGATACCTGGAAGTGGCCACTGACGGCCCCTGTGGTCTTAAGTGGTGCGGGTCTCAGCAGGTGGAGTTGAATGGACACTGCCAGTGGCGCTGTCTTGGAACCTCCACCCCACCCAGCATGTGTCCTCACATGCGCCCGAGTGTGAACTTCCTTTCCACCCAAACAGGCCATGATATCTGCCAAGGCAGACCCTACCAGTGTGCACACATGAGTGCAAGACTGAGACATATGGGAAAAGGCAAGAAAGCCACACCAGTACAGGAACACACCAAGATTCTAGTGATAGCTCCATGAAGAGTGATTTATCAGTGTGTACAATTCCAAATAATTGCTGCCAGCAAGGCCCAGAAAGCTAAAGATGAGCACAGATACCCTGCTCAGTGATGCAAGGAGAGTACAGAAAGAAACCAAATTTAGCAGACTTGAGATTTATAACACAGAAGGAAATACATTGACATGAAGAACACAGTCACTGAAATGAACTTGTAATAGACAGCTGTGAAAATAGACTGGAACCAGACGATTCTATAAACTGAGGTCCTTGGAAATCATATCGCTGTAGGTGACTCAAGTTGACATGTTCGGAAAAGCTTGAGAAAAATCTATGACTAGAGAATGCCATCAAGTGAGCAGTATTTGCATCATGGCTGAGGCTGAAGAGACTGAGAATTGCCAGAGAGCCTGTTCATGAATTAGAATGAGAAATTTCCCAGGTGAAGGAGAGTTGAGATTTCCGAGCTACGTAAATCACATATAGATCCCCTTAGAGATTCAACCAAAGAAAGATTTCGCTTCGACATGTCATAAATCTCGTCAAAGAGAATGAATTTTTAAACAGCAGGTGGAAAAGCAGCATCAAGTATGATAATCACCCCCATAAAATTATCTGTATTTTTCTGTAGACGTGTTGAGACCTGAGATAGTTGAATGGCATTTTCAAAGGACTGAAAGAGGAAATACCACCAAGGAGTCCTGTGTCTGCCAAACCTGAGACAAGGTAATTACGGACTCCTTTACAAGAAGAGCTGAGCGAGGGGAGGATGTATCTTTCTGTAGAGGAAGCCCCCCTAGCGAGTGCTCCACATGTCCATACACACACACTATACATATATATGTGTGTGTGTGTGTGTGTGTGTGTGTGTGTGTGTGTGTGTGTCCAGTCACACCCCTATATAGTAGATGGGTCTTTTAGGAGCTAGTCAGGGTTCATTTAGATAAGGCTGGGGTCCTTCGTCCAGCAGCATTAGTGACCCTGTAACAAGGAGGCTGTCTGGCTGCCCACACACCTGCTTTCAGGTGTGGATGCTGCCACGTGCCCACCGAGCGCAGAGCCTGTCGTACAGCAACTGGACTGACTGGCCTATGACTACCCAGTCTCCCTGTTGGGTACAGAAGGGTTTTATTTTTTCATACAGTTTATTTATGGTATCCTGAGCCCCTGATGCTGGGGGAGATAGTGAGTTTTTATGGACACAAATGAGCCATCTACCTTCTCTAATTAGTTTTCTCATATTGACCTTTTAATCAGTATGAATAAGAATGTATTTTTTTAAAGATTTATTTATGCACACAAGAACTGGGGTTTAGGTAAGAGGCATGGGGGGGGGTGAGAGGATTCCCCAGAGACAGAGTGGGGAGCAGAACAGGGATCTACTGCTGAGGGGAGCAGCCAGAGAGACAGGAGAGGTCTGCTGCGCCTTGTGGGTAGCTCCCTGGCTGGGGATCGAACTCGTACTGCAGAGGCTCTGATAGCAGAGGCTCCTTGATAGCACTGAGACTTTAACCTCTGTACCACCAGGGAGGCCCAGAATGTTTTTTTTTTGTTTTGTTTTGTTTTATTAATTTTTTTTTTAATAGAGGCATGTTTTATTTGTTTGTTTGTTTGTTTGCTTTGTTTATACATGCACTGGGTACAGTCAGAAGCGCGGGAGGGTGAGAGAATTCACCAGAGCCAGAGCGGGGAGCAGCGGGCGGCAGGAGAGGTCTGCGCGCCATGTGAGACCCTCCTCCGGTGGCCGGGGAGCAGCTGGGGATCGAACCGGCACTGCAGAGGCCGTGGGGCAGCTTCACAACCCAGTGCTCAACCGCTGCGCCACCAGGGAGTCCCTGTTTTTTCGTTTTTTAATTAGAATTGTGTTGTTAGCTTTGTTGCCTTGGGAGAATTGCTATCATTGCAGTGCAAACTCATCTTACTCGGTGCCGAAGACCAGCCTTGGCCAATTGAGTGCCAGGGGTTTCTGAAGGATGGGACAGCATTGGCGCAATTGAGGAATGAGGCAGACACACACAATGCCTTGGGTTAGTATTTCTCCCAGAGGGTCTCAGGAGGCTTTATTTATACACTAAGGCAAGCAGTGGGATTACATCATCACATGCATGGAAGCAAAGCAAAAGCAATCAGTGTATTTTTTTCTCCCATAGACTTTCGGCTGCTGTGGGCTCTCAAAGAAGGCAACCTTCAATGTTAATAGATAAAAAACCAAGCCTTACACTAAAATTATTTCAGCTAGACAGTTACCCAAGACAGTTGATAGCAGTTGGTACACTCATCAGCTAAAGCCTAAGCATCAAAAGACTCTTATTTGCATGGCTTTCAGCCGGAGACCAGCTGCTTTCTGGTTATCTGGTTTTCTACCTAGAAACTTCTTAACACAATTAACTTCATTTAAAAACTTTCCTAAGAAACTTCTAAAAAAAAGCAAAAGAAGGACTTACTATAATCATTGTCCTGGGTTGCTTGTCAGGCATGCTCATGTATAACAAACTCTTTCCCATTGTCAGGCAGGCCAAATTTACAATGTTTTTTAAGCAGGTAATTCTCCATGCCTTGTGCTTATAATATTCTTATACATATACTTTATTGCCCAATGTATTTTCTGAGAGTTTTTTCTATTTCTATGACCAAGAACATAAAACAAAGGGAGGTTTATAGGTTATAGATTAATCTTCAGCCCCAAGGTATGAGGCTCTTTGGAAATCTTCGGCCCCACAGTGTGAGGCCCTTTAAAAGTCTTTGGCCCCACGGTGTGAGACCCTTTTCTTAACTGCTTGCCAGCATCTTATCTGGCTGGGGCAGCAAGGCCCCCCCAACTCAGGATGCTGTTTTGTCTTTTTATTTTGTTCACTTTGTTTTTTGATTTTTGATTTTGTTTTTTCCTCTGCTCAGACTTGGGTACATTGTTCTGCTATACATACTGTTTGTTGTTTTTTCCTTTCATCGATATCATACACGAGTTCCTGTGTATGTGAAGACTTGTATATTTTTTTATAGTCTGCTCTTTGAATTTTCTTTTTTTACAATAATTTGATATTTTTTTGGCTTTCCAAGGATAAATTATAGCTAGTTATGCCCGATTTCACTGATGTCTTTCTCTTCTCCGTTGTGTCGTTCTCCTAACCCATTGTGAAGAAGGGGTAGCTGATCATTTGTTATTCCTCGTCTCATAAACGTGATTTCACCCGTGGCTGTGTCAAGTATATTGAATTGTGTTAAGGAAAAATCCTCCGAATCCTTTTTCACTTACTATAAGTACAAAGGTATTTGCATTGGATCCTACTCAATATATATGTGGGCGTACAAAGGATTTTTTTTACACAGGAATATGAGATGATGGACTGCATGAACAGATTTCCTAAGATTGAGGTTTCCTTATTCCTAACATAATCTTTTCAAAAGTCCTTTATTGCCATGATTATTTGTTTATGCTCTCCATCAGTATCTATTAGTCTCTCCAATTCTAGTTTCCCTCTTTCAGTATCGTTGGTTCTGGTCGAGCCATGTTTTTCCCTGAGATGATGAAAGCTACCAGTGATATTCCAGAGATTTCCACTTTTCAGACTTCAGCTTAGAGTTCCTGTTCTACGATATATATGTCCCATTCGAAGTGGGACTCCAGTATCGACCAGCTGCTCATGCAGACAGCATATTAGGAAAATGTTCCCTCAGCCACCATGTTATTAACTGGTTCTCCTTTTTCCTCTCTTTTTCAGATGTATTATGTGTTCTGTGTACTTAGTCTCTATTAAGGGTAACTTTTTTACCTCTATGGATTGGCCCTTCATATTTCTACGTTGTCCTGTAGGGTCTTTGTTTTGTTGGCTCTGAGGTGGAAGAGAGCATGCTTTTAGGTGACCGGAATGCAATGTTGGCATGATTTTGTACATCTCATTTGTTAGGAAGACTATGATCACATAACATTCTTTCCTGCCGAATTCAGCTCACATATCCCACAGTTCATGAAGCTGACAGACTTCAGTTCCAGAATACTTTTACTGTCTCTCTCAACTCGCTGCCCGGGACTCTGCCTGGCAGTTCTCTCTGCACTTCAGTTACCATGGTGAGTGCTTTTTATATTGTTACACGATGACACCTGCTGTTGTCTTATACTGTGGAGCATGTCATTTACAAGGAAGAGCAAGTGTTTGAGTCTTCAGTGAAGTGTAACCTGACAGTACAAAGTGTAGGTTTTTCTTCTCTTGTCCCCGTGTCTGCATTCAGCATGTTTTTCACACCACTCCTTTAGCACATTGTTCCAGGTGTGTGTCTATTCTACCTGCCAACCAGGTGCTAAGTTCTTGAGGAGCAAATTTTGTTCATCCTCTTATTCTTAGCCTGAGAACACCTCCAGATTTATAAGTTGAGCTATTAAAGAACTTTAAGGAGCGAATGAGTTAGTCCAGATGTAAGGCTATTTCTACTGAGAATTCTGTGCATATCACGATGTAGAGTAAGAAGATGGTACCTCCTATACAAGATTAGAGACCCACAACAGAAGGTGCATTTATACTTGCTGCTGTCTGATCCAGGCTGCTGGCCTTGAAATGAGAAGAAATGTTCTCTTGCAGGGGATGGTGTCATTTGAGGACGTGGCTGTGAACTTCACCCGGGAGGAGTGGTGGGAGCTGAATGGTGCTCAGAGGACGCTGTACCGGGATGTGATGCTGGAGACCTACAGTCACCTGGTGTCACTAGGTGCGGAAGCTCCGATGCAACACCGGAGTGTAAGTGCTATCTTCTATGCTGATAAGTATGCACTTGCTTATGAAATTGGGTGCTGGTGAGGTTGAACATGGCAGGCAGAGTAGATTGTGGGTGTTCACCCTTTTTATGAAAAGTTAAAATTGGTTCTGTAGATGCAGAATCCTTGTCTCTAAACAATATTCTTTCTTAAGTGACCCCATCCAGTCAGTAGGCTTTCCAGCAAACCATGACATCTACAGAGCTTGATAGTTCAAAAAATACGAGCAAAAGTTGCGCAGATGTGTCATAAGATGAAAAGAATGAAGACTAAAGGTTAGGCTAAATGCTGCTAGCTGAAACTGACATTTGGAGTTAGTATATTTACCTAATATTTCTGAATTTTAAAAGAAATAAGTCTTACTTGTCAACCTGGTTTGGCATTAGAAATCTGTTAATTTATTCTGTGACTTGTTAGGGGTAGAAATCATGAATCAGAAAATCAGTACCATTACTCTATTTAAATAGTGTTGTAGTAGAGACACTTATGTGCCTTTATATTAGAAATCACAGGCAATGTTTAGATATTTATAGAAATGGTTACTTTTATTTCATTTTAGATGTCCACTGTGGATTGCCTGATTAAGTCCAACTAGCCAAATCAGGGGAGGTGTTTAGGGTAATTTCTAATTGCCAACAGTAAAACGTGAGCCAAAGAGAGAACTGACTTAGGGAAATCAAATAATTTGGACTCAGTTCATAGTTTGCACCTCACTGTACATCAGGGAATGGTCCACACTGGGTAGAAACCCTATGAATGTTGAGAGTATAGCAAAGCTTTCTCCCGTAAGTCATCCGTCACTTACCATCACAGAATGCACACTGGAGAGCAATCCTGTGAATGACATGACTGTAGTAAAACTTTCTCCTGGAAATCAGGGCTTTATATCCGAGATCATACACTACAATTAACTGTGAATGTCTAGAGTATAGGAAAACTTTCTCCTGAAATTGGACCTCACTGACCATCAGAGAAATCTCTTTGACTGCCAAGAGTGTAGAACTCTCAGAAATCAGTTCTGAGTGTACATCAGGGAATCCATACAATAGCTACTTTTTATGTCTAGCCTGTAGGGAACCCTCAGTTTAGCCCTCTCTAGATAATTCACAGGAGAGCTGCCTTACACATATCCAGAACGTAGTAAAGCTTTTTACTGCAAATTGGATGTCACTGGGTAGCAGAGACTCAAAGAAGAGAAGCCCTGTGACTGTCAGTTCTGTGCGGTAGCTTTCTGCCAGAAGGAGCTCTCACTGGATGGGGAATGACACAGGAGAGACACCCTTTGTGGGTAACATGTGTAGGAAAACTATGGAAGTCAGCCTTCAGCAACCCTAGAAATTTTATAGAGTGGTGTGACACTGTCAGGTGCAGGCTGTGCACATATCTGCACAGCACTTATTTAAAAAAAAAAAAAAAAAAAAAATATATATATATATATATATATATATATATATATATATATAATGCATACAAGACCTGGGGTACAGGCCAGAGGTGTGGGGGGTGATTCACCAGAAACAGTGGAGAGCAGGACAGGTGGATCCACTGAAATACACTGCTGAGGGGAGCAGCGGGCGAGTCAGGAGAGGTCTGCTGCGCTATGTGGGTTGCTTCTTGGCCAGCCGGGGATCAAACTCGTGCTGCCAGAGGCTGTGGACAGCTTCACAAGCTGCGTCTTAACCCCTTGGGCCACCAGGGAGGCCCCCTCTACACAGCATTTTTATTCTGCTGGACAGACAACTTGGATTTCCCTGCCTCATTATCCTCTGCTTGAACTCAGCCCACGAGTACTTCGACACAGATGAGGGATGTTATTTCTATTTAAACTATACCCAAAAAGTTTTGTGTATTCTTCCCAGATCCTCCTTCTCTGTTGTCTGCATACTTCTCTGGTGTCACCATACTGGAGTAGCAGTGCACTAGTCCTCACAGTGTCTGTGGGCCATAAACTCCATCATTTGCACTGTTGTCTTGCACACATGTATTTCACATTGGTTCTGAGCACATCATTGTCCTTTCTTTGTTAATGTTTTTTTTCTTTTATCAACGTGTCTTTATTTATTTATTTTTAAAGATTTATTTTATTTGTTCAAGAGCTGAGGTACAGGCCAGATGCGCGGGAGGGTAAGAGGATTCACCAGAGACAGAGCAGGGAACAGAAAAGGCGGACTGACAAAAAAACACTGCTGAGGGGAGTGGTGGGCGAGACAGGAGAGGTCTGCTCACCATGTGGGTTGTTCCAAGGCTGGTGGGGATCGAACTGGTGCCACAGAGGCTGCAGATGGCTTCACAGCGCAGTGCTCAACTGCTTGTGCCACCAGGGAGGCCCTATCAACATGTCTTTTTAAACAATTAGGACAAGAAAAACATCTATGGAGTATTTTGTACAGTTCCCCACATAGGTACCATTTCCAGCGAGCCTGATTTTTTTTCCTTGGATCCAAGAAGCCATCTGGTGTCCTCTTTTGGCCTGCAGAGCGTCCCCTTGCATTGTGAGCTGCGGTCTGCTGCTGCTGCATTACTTCAGCGTTTGTGTCTCTGAAATATCTTTGCTTCTCCTCTGTTTTCTGTTCATCTAGTTTTTTCCCAATTTGAGGTGAGGGTTGAAGGATGTTTCAGCACTTTCCAGATATCTTCCCCTTCTGAGGAGAGAGAAGTCGTCCATCACTCATGTGGTTGTAGCATCTGCTGTCATTTCTCTGGCTGCTCACAAGATCGTGTCTTATCCTTGGACACTGGCTATTTGTGAAGGGCCTGGACTGGTTTTCTTTGCTCTGACCTCATTACAGATCATTAAGTTTTAGGTTTGTACTTTTTCCTTTTTTCCGGGTCAGACTCTGCCCTTGGTGCTTGTAAATGTGTTGCTTGCTGTTTGGTCCTCTCATCGGTTATGCGTGGGAGTTCCTGTGCATGTAAATACTTGGCTATATTATTTCTGCAGTCAGCTCACTGCATTTTCCTTCAGTGTGCTTTTCATTAGTTTTCCGTGGATGAATTATAACTAGTTATGACCATTTTTACTTATGTTTTCTTTTTTTCTGTTGAGTATCTTCGTTGTTCCTTGTCTCACTGTGAGTGTTGATGTCACCTGTGGCTGTGTCAAGGACATAGAATTGTATTAAGGAAAAATCCTCTGAATCATTTTTTTTAATCATTGCAAATGGAAGGTATTTGTATGGGGGCCTACTCACTATATATGTGGATATTCATAGGATTTTCTACTCCAGAATGTGACATGATGGAATATATTAACAGATGTCTTAAGATTTTTGTTTCCCGAGCCCTGGTGGCATAGGCAGTTGAGCCCCACACTGTGAAGCTTTCCGCAGCCTCTACAGTGCGGGTTCGATCCCGGCCCACCAGCGAGGGTCCCACATGGTGAAGCAGACCTCTCCTGTCTTGCCTGCTGCTCCCCTCAGCAGTGTATTTTATCAGTCTGCCTGTTCTGTTCCCTGCACTCTCTCTGATGAATCCTCTCACCCTCCCATGCATCTGGCCTGTACCCTGGTTCTTGTATAAAAATAAATAAATCTTAAAAAAAAAAAAAACAAAGGTTTTTGTTTCCCTATACCTAGTGTCATCTTTTCCAAAAGTCTTTCATTGCTATGAGTTATTTTTTCTTCCTCCAATAGAAATACTAGTTTCTACCAGTTGTTTTTGAATACCTATTATTCAAAAACGACCATGTTCTTCCCTATGATGATGAAAACTACCAATTATATTCCAGAGATTTGCACATTTCTTTCTTTCTTTTTTTTTGGTAAAGATTTATTTTATTTTTGCACACAAGAGCAGGGGGGTGAGGCCAGAAGTGCAGCAGGTGAGAGGATTCACCAGAGACAGAGTGGGGAACAGAACAGGCGGATCCACTGAAATCCACTGTTGAGGGGAGCAGCAGGGAGACAGGAGAGGTCTGCTGTGCCATGTGGGTAGCTCCCTGGCTGGAGATGGAACTCGTGCTGCAGTGGCTGCAGACAGCTTCATAGTGCTGAGAATAAGCCCACTGCACCACAAGGAAAGCCCTGATTCCAAAATTTCTATCTTCAGCTTAGAACTCTTGATGTATAAGACACATGTCCAGTTGAGTGTGCAACACCAATATCTGTTGGCTGGTCGTGCGACAGCATTCTAGGAAAACATTCCTTGTACCTCAGCCACCAAGTTATTAGCACATTCTCCTCCCCTTCCCTGCTCTGTTTTAGAAATGATGCCCTGTCCTGTGAACATCTCTTACCTCTGTTTATCTGCCCCTCATTGTTGCACATTCTGGTTTAGGGTCTAGGTTTTGTTTACTCTGAGGTGGCGATACCACCTTTGAGGTCACAGGAATAAAATACTGGCACACATTTGTACATACTTTTCATTTGTTATGAAGAGGGTGATCACATCACAGTCTTTCCAGCTGAATTCAGCTCAGATGTCCCAAGTTCATGAAGCTGGCAGACTTCAGTTCCAGAATACTTTTATTGTCTCTCTCATCTCACTGCCCGGGACTCTGCCTGGCAGCGTGCTCTCTGCAGGTCAGTTACCATGGCGAGTGCTTTCTGTTTTCTCACACAATGACATCTGCTGTTGTCTCACACTGATGAGTGTATTTTACAGGAAGCGCTAAGTGTTTGGGTCTTCAGTGAAGTGTAACCCGACACTACAAAGTGTTGGTTTCTCTTCTCTTGCACTGTGTCAGCATTAGGCAGGCTTTTCACACCGCTACGTAGCACGTTGTTCCACGTATGTGTCTATTCTACCTGCCAACCAGGTGATAAGCTTTTCAAGGAGCAGATTTTGTTCATCCTTTGATTCTTAGCATCAAAGACACTTCCCAATTTATAAAGTAAGTTATAAAAATCTTCAAGGAGCAAATGAGTTAGTCCAGAGGTAAAGCTATTTCTACTGAGAATTCTGTGCATATCACAATGTAGAGTAAGAAGATGGTGCATCCTATACAAGGTCAAAGACTCACAAAAGAAGGTGCGTTTACACTTGCTCTGTCTGACCCAGGCTGCTGGCCCTGAAATGAGAAGAAATGTCCCCTCGGAGGGGATGGTGTCATTTGAGGATGTGGCTGTGAACTTCACCTGGGAGGAGTGGCGGGACCTGAGTGAAGCTCAGAGGACCTTGTACCGGGATGTGATGCTGGAGACCTACAGCCACCTGGTGTCACTAGGTGAGGAAGCCCCAATGTAACGCTCGAGTGCATGGGCTGTCTTCTATGCTGAGAGTGTGCACTTCCCTATGAAAGTGGGTGCTGGTGTGGTTGAACGTGGCAAACAGACTAGATTGTGAGTGTTCGCCCTTTTTATCAGAAGTACCAGTTGGCCTTTGTTGCTCTTAACACTGCTTTTGTTAGTTTTCAAAATTGAAGTTTTTTTTTTTTTTTTAAGATTTTTGAATTTATTCATTTTTAAAAGATTCATTTATTTATGCATACAAGAACTAGGGTACAGGCCAGAGGTGTGTGTGGGGGGGGAGAGGATTCGCCAGAGAGAGTGGGGAACAGAACCGGCAGATTGACTGAAATACACTGCTGAGGGGAGCAGTGGGTGAGTCAAGAGAAGTCTGCTGCACCATGTGGGTCAGCTCACTGGCCGAGGATCAAACTAGTGCTGCAGTGGCAGCGGACAGCTTCATAGGCTACGTCTTAATCCCTTGCACCACCGGGAGCCCCCAAAATGGAAGTTTAACTTGATGAAAGACCAACAGTGTTTCTCATCACAGGACATTGTGTTACCGGTCCTGAGGAGAGCATCAGGTTGGAGCAGGGAGTACAGACATGGACTGTGGAGGAACCCCCAAACCAGGACGTCTCGGGTCAGTCCTTGCTGGCAGGAGGCTAGGATTATGGCCAGTGATATTGGCCACACTGAGCTACTTTTCCAATGTCCAAACCGTGGGCAGTCTGTCCACATTTATCAAAGTGATTCTTTCTTCAGTTCCCAAATATTGCTGACTCCTAGATTTCCTCCTACACTTTCAGTGGTTGTCAATATCTTTTTTTTTTTTTTTTAAAGAGGCACGTATTTTATTTATTTATTTGTTTGTTTATTAGTTTATACATGCACTGGGTACAGTCAGAAGCGCGGGAGGGTGAGAGAATTCACCAGAGCCAGAGCAGGGAGCAGAACAGGCAGAAGGACCAAAGTACACTGCTGAGGGGAGCAGTGGGCGGCAGGAGAGGTCTGCGCACCATGTGGGACCCTCCTCCGGTGGCCGGGGAGAAGCTGGGGATCGAACCGGCGCTGCAGAGGCCGCGGGGAGCTTCACAACCCAGCACTCAACCGCTGCGCCACCGGGGAGGCCCGGTTGTCAATATCTTAAACCAGTATGTAGTCCCCAGTGCTGCGGGAAATTATTCTATATTAGTCACATTTTCTGTGTGTCTCTCTTGTTCCCACAGGCTGTTTTCTTTCACTTATTTGTTCAGGCATTCCTTTATTCTCTTATCTTGTTCATTGGAAGTTTCAGCTAGTGGTCAATTTTCATTGAGTATGGATAATGACAGTAACCATAGAAGTGGCCTTTCCTTTGTTAAGGTTACATTCTGATAGACAGGATAATGTAACAAATACATGTATTAAATAGATAGAGCCACAGAGAATGTTTGACCATGATGAGAGAGAAAAAGTGGAGAATGTTATTTTAGAGTGTGTGCTCTGAAGGCATTATTATGGAGATGAAGTCTTTGTAGCGCTCAGGTGAGATGCATGCTTTGCACGGACATGCCATGTATGTAGTTCTCTGTGCAGTCTGGGCTAGAGGTTGTGTGTGGCTACTGGAGATGTCATTTACCAGGTGACTGACTCAAAACTCATAGAGGGGGCTTGACTGGAGAGTTATTGAGAACATGAGTAGTGTGACTGTGAGCCTTGTGACCGCCCACATTAGACATTGTGAGGCTGAGGAGGACCCAGAAATTGTTCAGCGTGGGAAGGGATGTTCTGTGACATGGGAGGGGAAACCTGAGGTGGTGGTTTCTAAAGCCATGGCACCAAGAGTTCAGGTTAAGGGCTCATTCCTTGGGGAGGAGTTTGAACTGTGTAATCACACCTTCTTGTGGGAATCATTTGGAAGAAAGTAAAGGAATCAATGACAGTGTGATGTAGCTAAGAGTAACATAGTAGATAGAAACTTGAGCTGCTATGAATGCAGTAGAAACACAGGTACCACGTGGTGCAGTGAGAATACCAAGAGTGCTGATCCCAGAAGGGTGTGGAAAAAGCCTTTTACAATGATGGCCACAGACTGATTGTAGAACTCTTTTCCTTTCCATCAGCAGGGAAAAGTTGGACACAATGATGAGGCGGAGTTTGCTGCATGATTTAGGATTCTGAGCCTATGTGATATGATATTTAAATAAGAACTGACAGGTCTCTGCCGTGGAGGGAAGCACATGTCTCTGAGAACCTCTGCAGGTGACTGTGGCCAGGGCCGGAGGAGAAAGAAAATCTAAGGAAATGTCCATGCAAAATCCTTCTGTCTTGGCAGGGCTCTGTTCACATTCAGTCAATAGGAAAACTATGACATCTGCAGAGCTTGATTATTCAAAAACTACCAGCAGAAGTAGCTCACGGTCATCCCGCAAAAGAAAGGATATAGGCTCTATGTTAGAGTAAATGCTTCTGGTGGAAATCAACATCTACAGTTAAATGAATTTTTTTTAACCAAATATGTATGATTTTATAAAAACACAAATAAGTTTTACAGCTTCCTTTTCAACCTGATTTGACATTAGAAAAATCTGTTTATTGGGGCCTCCCTGGAGGCCTAGCGGTTAAGTCTCTGTGCTGTCACTGCTATCACCTGAGTTTGATCTATGGCCAGGGAGCTCATCCTATATGGCACAGCAGACCTGTCTCGCCTGCTGCTCTCCTTAGCAGTGTATTTCACTCACTCCGCCTCTTCTACTCCCCACTCTGTCTTTGGTTATCCTCTCAATTTCCCACCCCCAGCCTCCCATGTACCTCTGGTGTACACCCTGTCTCTTTTATGCCAAAATAAAAGTAAATCTGGTTGTTTTTTTTTTTTTTTTTTTCTGTAATTGGTTATGGGTAAAAAGCATGAATCAGAAAAATGCAATACCTGTGAAATTCTGTTTTAGTGTAAAATCTTTTGTGCCTTTTAGTAGCAATAACTTGAAATGTTTAGAGTTATTTATAAAAATGATCATTTTTATCCCTTTTTAGATGTTCATACTGTGGATTACCTGACTAAGACCAACCCTCCAAATCAGGGAAGACATTTGTGGCAAGTTTTTACTGCCAGGAGCAAAATATCAACCAATGAGAGAACTGACTTTGGGGAAAAAAGTAACTTGGACTCACTTCATCGTTTGAACCAGAATATAAAAAAGGGAAACATTTCAGCAATGATGCCTGAGAACTTTACTATATATAGGGCCATGTTAACCCCTGATGGGCCTCATGAAGAACATGCTGGAAGGAAAGAGGCAGTCTTTCATAGAATTAGGGACTCCCTCGGGTATCCTGAGAAGACTCACACAGGAAAGAAGGCCTGTGAATGTCAAAAGTGTAGGGCCATTTTGTCCAGAAAATCATCCTTCACTTACCATCACCGAATACATGCTAGAGAGAAACCCTACAAATATCAAGAGTGTAGAAAAATGTTTTTGTGGAAATCTGTCATCTTTGTACATCAGGGAAATCACACTGGAGGGAAACCTTATAAATGTCAAGAGTGTGGGAGAACTTTTAACAGTAAGTCCACCCTCATTGTGCATAAGAGAAGTCACACCACTGGAGAGAAGTCCTATGAATGTCAAGTGTGTAGGAAAGTGTTTTCCCAGAAGTCAGTTCTTGTTCTACACAAGAGGGCTCACACTGGAGAGAAGCCCACTGAGTGTCAAGACTGTGGGAAAACTTTTCCCAATCAGACCACCCTCAGTGTACATCGGAGAAGTCACACTGGAGAGAAACCCTATGAATGTCAACTGTGTGGGAAAGCCTTTTCTAATAAAGTACACCTCAATAGGCATCACACAATACACACTGGAGAGAAACCCTATGAATGTCAAGAATGTGGGAGGGCTTTCTACTTGAAGTCAGTCCTCTTTCAACATCAAATCACCCACAGAACAGTGAAGCCCTATGAATGTCAAGCATGTGGGAAAACTTTTTCCAGGAAGTGTACCCTCACTGATCATCAGAGAAGTCACACTGGTGAGAAACCCTATGCATGTCAACAGTGCGGGAAAACATTCAACTGGAAATCAGCCCTCTATAAACATCATAGGGTTCACAGTGGAGAGAAACCATATGAATGTCAAGAGTGTGGGAAAACTCTTAGCAGTAAGGTTGTCCTCGCTGTCCATCAGAGAAGTCACACTGGAGAGAGACCCTATGAATGTCAAGAGTGTGGGAAAACCTTTTTCGGTAAGGGTGCCCTCACTGTTCATCAGAGAAGTCACAGTGAAGAGAAGCCTTATGACTGTCAAGAGTGTGGGAAAACTCTTTGCAGTAAGGCTGCCCTCACTGTCCATCAGAGAATTCACACTGGAGAGAAACCCTATAAATGTCAAGAGTGTGGGAAAACCTTTTCTCGTAAATCACACCTCAGTAGGCATCACAAAATGCACACTGGAGAGAAACCCTATAAATGCCAAGAGAATGGTAAAACGTTTCCTGATAAATCACAGCTCAATAGGCGTGGCAAAATCCACACTGGAGAGACATGTTATGAATGTGAAGAATGTGGGAAGGTTTTCTACCGCAGGTCAGGCCTCTATATCCATCAAAAGATCCACAGAGGAGTGAAGCCCTATGCATGTCAACAGTGTGGGAAAACATTCTACTGGAAATCAGCCCTTGCTGTCCATCAGAGAAGTCACACTGGAGAGAAACCCTATGAATGTCAACTGTGTGGGAAAGCCTTTTCTGATAAAGTACACCTCAATAGGCATCACACAATACACACTGGAGAGAAACCCTATGAATGTCAAGAATGTGGGAAACCTTTTCCCACTAAGTCAGACCTCACTGGACATCAGAGAAGTCACAGTGGAGAGAAACGATATGTATGTCAAGAATGTGGGAGGGCTTTCTACTTGAAGTCAGTCCTCTTTCAACATCAAATCACCCACAGAACAGTGAAGCCCTATGAATGTCAAGCATGTGGGAAAACTTTTTCCAGGAAGCGTACCCTCACTGATCATCAGAGCAGTCACACTGGTGAGAAACCCTATGCATGTCAACAGTGCGGGAAAACATTCAACTGGAAATCAGCCCTCTATAAACATCATAGGATTCACAGTGGAGAGAAACCATATGAATGTCAAGAGTGTGGGAAAACTCTTAGCAGTAAGATTGCCCTCGCTGTCCATCAGAGAAGTCACACTGGAGAGAGACCCTATGAATGTCAAGAGTGTGGGAAAACCTATTTCGGTAAGAGTGCCCTCACTGTTCATCAGAGAAGTCACAGTGAAGAGAAACCTTATGACTGTCAAGAGTGTGGGAAAACTCTTTGCAGTAAGGCTGCCCTCACTGTCCATCAGAGAATTCACACTGGAGAGAAACCCTATAAATGTCAAGAGTGTGGGAAAACCTTTTCTCGTAAATCACACCTCAGTAGGCATCACAAAATGCACACTGGAGAGAAACCCTATAAATGCCAAGAGAATGGTAAAACGTTTCCTGATAAATCACAGCTCAATAGGCATGGCAAAATCCACACTGGAGAGAAATGTTATGAATGTGAAGAGTGTGGGAAGGCTTTCTACCGCAGGTCAGGCCTCTATATCCATCAAAAGATCCACAGAGGAGTGAAGCCCTATGCATGTCAACAGTGTGGGAAAACATTCTACTGGAAATCAGCCCTTGCTGTCCATCAGAGAAGTCACACTGGAGAGAAACCCTATGAATGTCAACTGTGTGGGAAAGCCTTTTCTGATAAAGTACACCTCAATAGGCATCACACAATACACACTGGAGAGAAACCCTATGAATGTCAAGAGTGTGGAAAGGCTTTCCGGAACAGGTCAGGCCTCCATGCTCATCAAATAACTCACAGAGCAATAAAGCCCTATAAATGTCAAGAGTGTGGGAAAACTTTTTCCAGAAAGTTCTCCTTCACTGTACATAAGAGAAGTCATACTGGAGAGAAACCCTATGAATGTCAAGAGTGTGGGAAAACTCTTTGCACTAAGACTACCCTCACTGTCCATCAGAGAACTCACACTGGGGAGAGACCCTATGAATGTCAAGAATGTAGGAAAGGGTTTGCCCAGAAATCAGGTCTTGTTGTACATCTGAGGACTCACACTGGAGAGAAACCTTATGAATGTCAAGAGTGTGGGAAATCATTTTCCAGTAAGTCCACCTTAATCGTACATCAGAGAAGACACACTGGAGAGAAGCCCTATGAATGCCAAGAGTGTGGGAAAACATTTCCTGATAAATCACAGCTCAATAGGCATGTCAATATCCACACTGGAGAGAAATGAATGTGAAGAGTGTGGGAAGGTTTTCTACAACAGGTCAGGCCTCTGTCGTCAGCAAAAGATCCACAAAGGAGTGAAGCCCTATGCATGTCAACAGTGTGGGAAAACATTCTACTGGAAATCAGCCCTCAATCAACATCATGGATTTCACAGTGGAGAGAAACCTTATCAATGTCAAGAGTGTGGGAAAGCTTTTTCAAATAAGCCTGCCCTCATGTTACATCAGACAATTCACACTGGAGAGAAACCCTATGAATGTGAGGAGTGTAGGAAAGGTTTCTCCCAAAAGTCAGATCTTGTTGTACATCAGAGGACTCACACTGGAGTGAAACCTTATGAATGTCTGGAGTGTGGAAAAACTTTTTGCAGTAATTCCTCCCTCTCTAGGCATCAGAAACGTCATACTGGAAAGAAATCCTATGAATGTTAACTATAGAAAAACTTTCTCTTCCAGGGCCTCCCTGGTGGTGCAGGCGGTTGAGCGCCACACTGTGAAGCTGTCCGCAGCCTCTGCAGCGTGGGTTTGATCCTGGCTGGCTGGCGAGAAACCCACACGGCGCAGCAGACCTCTCCTGTCTCGCCCACTGCTCCCCTCAGCAGTGTATTTCGGTCAGTCTGCCTGTTCCTGTCTCTGGTGAATTCTCTCACCTCTCCCCCCCCACTCACCCCCAAGCATCTGGCCTGTACCCTGGTTCTTGTATAAATAAATCTTTAAAAAACAAAAACTTCCTCTTCCAAATCAGCCATCAGGAGAAGTCATTCTGTAGAGAAACCTTTTGATGTCCATAGTGTGGGAGAATTTTCGCCAGTAAATCAGCCCTCAGTAACCATCACAGAATGTACACTTGAGAAACTGTATGACTGATAAGATTCTGTAAAACTCCTGGAAATCAGGCGTTGATAGGCATTCTGGATGTTACACTGCACACAAACTCTATAGGAAACCTTTCTCCTAGAAATCAGGTCTCACTTCACAGCAGAGAATTCTCACATGAGAATAACCCCATGAAAGCTGAGTGTAGGGGAACTCTTGGGTTGTCGAGAAAGTCCTGACCTATTTTTTTCAGCGTGTCCAAAATGCGTCATAACTTTTCCAACAACTCAGTATCTCGGAATTCAGTTCCAAGTGTAGATCAAAGAATTCACATGGGAAAACGTTTAAGATTTATTCATGCATACAAGAACCGGGTACAGGCCAGAGGTGTGGGAGATGAGAGGATTCACCAGAGACAGCAGGGAACAGAACAGGCAGACTGAGGAAATACACTGCTGAGGGGAACAGCGGGCAAGACAGGAGTGGTCTGCTGTACCCTGGGGATCAGGTCCCTCACCAGCTGGGTGTTGAACTCATGCTGCCCCACCAGGGAAGCTTTAGAATCAAATGATTTATGTGGACACCTGCCTCGGCCAGAGGGTCAGTGCAACTATTTCTAAACTTTTTTTCTATGAGTTGATTTACATCCGTTTAGAAACCGTTTGGGGTTGTGATCCTTCATAAACTACTGCATTGAATTCAAACCACACCCGTGTTTTGGAACAGAACCACTTCCCCAAAACCAGCCTTCTTCCCACTTGAAGACTCTGTGTCTCCCCTGGTGAGGATGTGCGAGCCCCCTGAGAGTCCAGGGTCTGTATCAAGTAAAATTGTGCCTCAGAAATGTGTTCTGAGGCCACACGTTACTGGCCATGTCCTGAATGTGGTCTTTGACTCGGTTGATACCTTGGGTTTAGTGAGCGGTGTGGACGTTGGTGTCAGAGGGAATCCCTGGTGTTGCTCTCGCTGTCCCTCCTTTCTCAGGGGCACCCGGTGCCCTCTGGCGTGTTTCTTCCCACCATGGTGATGATGAATGGGGTTGTTTTTTTTTTTTGCAGCAGGCCCGGAGTCTGAGGCCTCGGGTGTGCTCTTCTTCATTTCTTGTCTTTGGTGCAAAAGTAGTTCCAAGTGGTGCCCAGAGTTCCAGAAAAGCCAGAGATTTACTCACAGGAATAAGGACAAGAAAGCTCCCTAAGAAGAATGGTCCCGAGGGGTGGCCGCTGGGGGCCGAGAAGCAGGGGCTCCCATGGCTATGGAGGGCAGGGAGTGGGGGCTGATCGTGGGGGCTTCTGCTATGTGCCTCTTGCTGAAGGGCTTGGCCTGAGGGGTCTCCCGAGGCTCCGAGGCCTGCAAAGTTTGCCCACTTTACTGGCCTGCATTTCCACAACGAGCCTTGGACTGTAGATGTGGAGTTGTATCCTGTGTTGGTTCCGTGATGTCCTCGCTGGGCTGGGCTGGGCTGGGGCGCCATCTGTTGGGGATTGTTTCTCTGTTGGGCTAATAAGGGAGCTGTGACTTGGGCACCTGCTCCTAATTGCCCGCCTCTGCCACGTCCTGACTTCCTCAAGAACTTTCCAGCCAGAGCCCCAGCCTGTTTCCTCACAGTGCAGCCCAGAGCCACTGTCCACGTTCTCACACAGTGGGGACCTTCTCTGGGGAGTCTACGTTACAGGTGCTCCTGCCTCTTCTGGAGTCTCAAGGGGAGAGGACAGTCCCTGAGCGTGCTGGTCACCAACTGTGGCCCCAGCCCCACTGTCTAGCAAAGCCAAGAAGTAGGGGTGGTGGCCTGGTGCAGGGAATCCCACGGGCCAGAGTCAGGGGGTGACTCTGGACTGCAGACCCATGAGATGGACCCTGAAATCTAGCAAAGCTTCCTGCTCAGCTGACCCTGGGCATCGCCCCAATCCCCGGGTCCCAGGAAGCTGTGATCATCAGCCTCTGCAAAGCCTCTTGCCCAGGGCTGCTCTCTAGGCCTGTGTGGCGTTTATGGAATTTGGAGGACTGAGAGCTGGCAGTTGAGGACAGTCCAGAGAGCTCACTACGTGGGGAGTCAGCGGGGCTGAGTGAGGGCTTGTTACACTTTGTGTCTGTTAAAGATGTTAAAAATCTGGTAATTTTTTTTCTCTAACCACAGTTTAAAAATAAGGATTTAAGGGGCCTCCCTTGTGGCGCAGGCGGTTGAGTGCAGCGCTGTGAAGCTGTCCACAGCCTCTGCAGCGCCTGTTCAATCCCCGCCAGCCGAAGAGATGCCCACATGGAGCAGACCTCTCCTGTCTCGCCCGCTGCTCCCCTCAGCAGTGTATTTTGTCAGCCTGCCTGTTCTTCTCCCCGCTCTGTCTCTGGTGAATCCTCTCGCCCCCGCATCTCTGGCCTGCACCCTGGTTCTTACATAAATAAATAAATCTTTAAAAAAAAATAAGGATTTACAAAAACTGAGAGCTTTACTTTAGAGTTATTCTTCTTTGAAAATTTATTTTTATTTATCCTTTGTGCTGAGCTATATTTTATAATCTTAAAATTCTTTTTTACCCTAAATTTACAAACAAGGAATAGATCAACATGTGTGTCTTGCATGCCTGTGAATCATGAGGCTTTCAGGAACAAGGGTTGATTGATTACAATTTCTACTTGCAAAGCCACTGTCTCCCCTCAAAAGGGGAAGAGCCTACATTTTTTATACTAAAGGGAAAACTTAAAAGTAATCTTTTCCAGATCTAGCCTGATGGTTTGGGTACACCTCCCAGGAAGTAAATATCAAGGCCTGATCAGTGGTGGTAAGCCTTGGGGTGCACGGGAATCAGGGAGGAGGGTCACATGGTTGTATCAGAACAAACTGACACCTGATCCCCACAAGGTGGATCCCCTCAGAGGACACACACCCCTGCTGGGGTGTCTGCACAGTTAATGGTAAATCCTAGTGCAAATCTCCTCGGGAGAAGACATCATTTATATATTTATCAAAGGCCCCTTTGATAAATCCCAAGTTCTGTGATCAAATCTGTCACTCTTCAGTGTCCTAGCTGATCTCTCCTCATTACTTTTCACAGTCCTGCATCTCGGGGTGCCCCCACCAGCTGATCCAGTGTGCACCCCCATGCTGCTGTGCAGAGCAGACACTGGTCCACAGGGAATCTAAAAGCCATATTCCCCTCACTCTCACCTGAGCGCCCAGCCCAGCCCAATGAATCTGGAATCCCAGTGCCCCGTGGGGTCTGCGACAAGGAGGGTTTTCGTCATCGAAGGTCATTCATTCTGACCTGCTCGGGCCACCGACCCTGCAATCAGAGACAGGAGGGACGGCTGTGGGACAGTGTTCTCATGAGCTGTGCTGCCTTATCTTGAAAAGAAAAGGGCGGAACAAGTAGCTGACGATGTTTGCTCCCCAGGAACACAGGGGAAGGTCAAGTGAATAAGTTCTAGGTCTCTGGCATCTGTGGAGGTGGAGCCGAGGAGCCTCTGCCAGGTGGGGCCACTTACCCAGAAGCAGCCCTTCCCTCCTCTCGCTCCTTCTGCTGTTTCCTTCCAGGAGATTTTGTCTGGAGGCCTCACCGCTGCATCTGGGAAACATCCCCGCAGGGTCGGCCAGGCCCTTCACTGCTCCCACACCCACAGGCAGAAAGTCCTAGAAATGCTGAGACGCCCACCCACTCCTGTCCTTTGTCTCAGGCTCAGGCACCACGGGCTTCTGCGGGAGGCCCCACCCTGGATGTCTGCCTGTCACAATCCCTTCCTCAGTTTCCCTCTCCTCCCAGAGGGTTACAGATCCCGCCACTGATGGGGGTGGGTGCTCAGAGCCTGGCCCCTCTCCTGGGGCAAAAGCCTGCTCTTAGCTCCCATGAACCACTTGGGGGTTGCTGCTTCCTCCTGGCCTCACCTCACAGTCACCTGGAGCACTGTCACTGCCCGAGGAAGGGCCCCTGTAAGGGGCAGAGGTGACAGTAGCTCTCAAACTCTCGGGTGGTCTCAGGTGAGTCTGGGTCAATCCCTTGTGGGCTTGAGCCTCAGGGTTGATGGGACATCATGTTGGGAGCCTGTTGCCCTGAAATGAGGGGAGGGAGGCAAAATGGAAGAGAATATCACAGGGGACTGTGGTGATGGCTCATAGGTGTTGTGGAGGCAGTGTTAGGGGGAAGGGATGTCCTGAGCAAACTCTACACAGGCTTTGTGGACTCCACCCCCAGGCCATCAGGACACTGGGAACTACAAATCCCAAGATACCTAAAAGGAAATTGCGAGGACCTGAGGGCGGAGGTAAGCAGATATGTTCTCTTGAGTATTTAACCCACCATGTGGTGGTGGGGGATGTCTCTCCCCTGGCCACGCGGCACGCTAGGCTTTTCGCCAGCTCGGTGGGTCATTGGGATTCCAGGTCAGAGGAGCGGGTAGGATGCAGTTATGAACTTGTCTCCCTCTTTTACTCCCTGAGTTACTCATTTCTCCATTCCCCATTCCCAGAGACACTGCGGGGAGCAGAACAGGAAGAAGGACCGAAGTACACCGCTGAGGGGAGCTGTGGGCGGCAGGAGAGGTCTGCGCGCCATGTGGGACCCCCGCCGGCAGCCGGGGATCGAACCTGCGCTGCAGAGGCTGCGGGCAGCCTCGCAGCCCAATGCTCAACCGCTGCGCCACCAGGGGAGGCCCAGAAAGAAACCTTTTGTGTGTGTCTGCAGTTTAGCATTCGTA